CCCCGGCCCGGCGAGAGCCGGGCTGCCCTGGCTGGGCGAGGTGGCCGCAGCTGGAGTTACGTGAAGCGCAGCTACAGAGTCGAGGGAGCCAAGTGTCCCTTGTTTGCAGCAGGGCGTGCGGGAGGGCATGGGGGTCGCACCTTGTGGCTTGGGAAGTTCAGGTTGGGTGTTAGGACAGAATTCTGCACCTGGAAATGGTGCAGGGCTTCAAAGAGTTACTCAGGAGTGTGTTGTAATCTCCATCCTTGGAGGCCTGCAAGACTTGGATGGATAAAGCCAAAGTTGACCCAATCTGCTGTTGGTTTTGGTCCTGCTTCAAGTGGGATTTGGACTGTATAGTCTCCAGAGTGCCTTCCAACCAGCATTGCTGTGATAATTTGGGGTACAACCCAACTGCCGTTGAGGACTAGCCCATTTTGTGGCCTGGGTGTTCATTTGTGCCAACCTTGAAAAGTTTGTTTTGTGCCTTGATATTGAGAGCTGTGCTTCCTTTTCGTAGGATGGTTTGAAGCTGTGCCTCTCTGAATTCAAGCGGCAGCTAGCTTGGGTGGAAAGGCTGGATGTGACTTTGGGTCCAGTAACAGATGTCACAGGTCCAGTCTCACACAGTGCTTCTGACAAAGATGCTGTTGACCCTGAGAATGACTTCCAGAGAGAGATGAGCTTGTAAGCGTAAAAAAAAAAGAGATTTCTTGTAGGGTTTCAGCATACTACTACAAGCTCGGAATCCCTTGCCTGTACGCAGTTCTGGTATTGCTTCACTGTCATGTTTCACAGTATCCTGCAGGCTGCTGTACTGGCTGTCGCTGGTATCTTGTCGCTTCTGCTCTGTGTTGTGTGCCACAGCATGCTTTGTAGCACTGATGCATTGTGTGTGTGACAATTTGAGTGAAACACTGAAGCTTGAAATCTCACCTCTTTGTTTTCAGCAACTCGGCTTTACTGTATCACTTAAAAGTAAGAATGCTAATTTTTAATTAAAAAGGCTAATTTTTAATAAAATAAAATAAAATTAAAAATTAAAATAGTTTTAACTTGCCAAAATTTAACTAGAAAACTACTTCATTAATATTAAATAGTCATATAATATTAAATATTTAGGCTCCTAGATTTCTAGAGTGTTTTCTAACCTGCTCAGTGGTCTTGGATTGAAGCTGCAGTTGTTTGTTGTAGGAATTCTTGAGCAACCTATGTAACAATATCATTCAAGATGCCTTAATTTCAAGGATACTAGAATGTGGGTCCAAAAACACTGTAGGTTATGCAAGTATTTTATATTTGATAGTGCTGAATTTTTGGCAAAATAACTACAAATGGATGCTTTTATGTTTCACTTGTCTTGTGATGGGAAAAAATTCCCTTCCTTGCAGCAAACTCTTCATTTGTTGGAGATTTTCTTTAAAAAGTTCCTGTGCTGCAGCACTATGGATATGAATTTTTCTGCATGAATGTGTTATGGCAGTTTTCTCTCTCTCTCTCTCTCTCTCTCTCTCTCTCTCAATTTCTCCTCTCCCCTCCTGGTACAATACAGTGTGTAAAACTGTAATTGAAAACTGGATAAACTGTAAGTGCAAGCTATCAATGTTAACATTGTACTGGCACCTAAATTGCTTTTAGTAGTAGTGGTGCGGTAGGGTACAGAATGTTGCTATAACTCTGGGATATAACAAATATTTATCTAGTATCAACTAGCTGATATGATCAGAATTTCTGTCACTGTTGTGAGATATTCTTGCTACTCAGCGACGTTCAGCTGGTGTTGCGTTGTCTTTCTAGTTACCGACAGGCTCAGGCCGCAGTCCTGGATGCCCTACCAAGGTTGCGTAAGCTCCAGGTTCCTACTAGAAGGCCAGATGATTATTTTGCAGAGATGGCCAAATCTGACCAACAGATGCAGAAGGTATGTGGTTTAAATGATTATTTTCTTTCCTGTGTTATAGATTGGTTTTAGCTTGTGTTGGGTAACTAACTTTGAGGTTTGATTGTGTTCACTTAATAATTACCTTCATGTCTGTGGCAAAGGCCTGTGACAATGTTTGCGTTTGGAATTTGTTCTGTGGTTGTTTAAGTATCCCTTTGGAACGGGGGTGTTTCCGTAACAGGCTGGAAAATAAGGTAGAAGAGTGTAATTTGTAGTCTCTCCTAAGTGTAACTAATACTAAAAATACTTTTTCTCCATGTATGTGAGAGTGCTTGTAAAGTCAGCTGTGTTTGTGCTCTTTGCCCTAAGATTTGCAGTCAACTGTGGCATTAACGTGTGATCTCTTTTCCCAGTTTAAGTCTCACTCTTCATTTATGCTCGGTGTATTTTGATTCTTAGTGATTTTAAACTCTATGTAATTGAACTAATTTATCATGGGTAGTAAGTGGGATTTGGTAGTAGTTTTGTTGTAAGAGGGTTGCACAGCCATCATAAAGTACTCATATTTTCCTTTGCATTACTGACTCATTTTGTTTTTTTTAACCTCCTAAAAAGATTCGACAGAAGCTTAAGAGTAAACAGGAAGCAATGGAGAAATCTGAGAAAGCAAAACAGCTCCGTGCACTGAGAAAATATGGCAAGAAGGTGAGGAGGAGCTAGAGACGTGACCCATTTATGACAAGAATCTAGAGTCTGAATGGGGAACATAGAAATTGAGACCACATGAGGCAGGCTAAAATAAATGGAATCTGTTTAGTTTTTTATCCAGCTACTTTGAAGGGGGAGAGAGCAAAAGATGGAATACTTAAGAAAAGTCTTGGGTGCTAGAAGGATCAACACTAATACTCTATCTCTAACCTCAGGTGCAAACAGAGATTCTGCAGAAGAGACAAAAGGAGAAAAAATCAATGTTGAATGCAGTCAAGAAATATCAGAAAGGTAAAGTTAACGTATTTAGGAGAGCAAATGCATAATCAGAATAGTGGGGTGTGAGGAATGTGAGGCACTGTGATGTGTGGTGTCAATCTGTAGTGGTGGGCAGTGAACTTGAAAGGCTGCTGCTAGTCAGTCACACACCAGTAGCAACAAAAAGCCTCCCACCTAGCTGCCCTCCAGTGAGGGTGACTTGTTGCTATTACTTGCTTAGACTGAATATTCTTATGTTCTGTGGTGGCAGCTGAGCAACTGTTTTGTCTTTGCTCTTGCAGGTCTCTCTGACAAGCTGGATTTCCTAGAGGAAGAGCAGACTTCATCTCAGGGGAAGAAGAAAGGCAGTGGAAGTCAACGGATAAAGAGAGGGTGATTTTTTCCGGTCTTGTCAGAGATTTTGTGGAACAGTGAAAGCTGTTCTAATTAGTGTTCCTTAAGAGTAAGTTCCAGGTTGCTTTCCCCCTCTCTAGAGGAGAAATGTGGACAGAATGGAGAGAAGGTGGAAGTGTTTTAATTTCTGTCTCTTCAGTAAGAGGGGAAAGGTTTATGCTAGCTGAAGGGAGTCTATCAGCAGATGTACGTGCCTTCTTGGGAGCTTCCCATTGGGTTGTTTTTTCAGACCAAATGCCAAACGACGATACAAGAATCAGAAGTTCGGTTTTGGTGGGAAGAAGAAGGGATCAAAGTGGAACACAAAGGAGAGTTTTAATGACGTATCCAGCTTTCAGGCAAAAGTGGCTCACAACAAAGGCCCAAGAAAAGCAGGGAAAAAAGCCCTCAATGTAAGTAAAATGTTGCGTGCGAATGATCGCAGTTGGCTGGGAAGCCAGCCCTGGTCTGGTAGGAGCAACCTGAGCGCATTGCAGTGCCTCCAGGAAGTGAAAACGTCTGTCTTTGGGAACTGAGCATAACTCAGTGACAGACGCTGTTGAAGATGGTGGTTCGGTGTCTGAGCAGGGAAGTGAGCAGATACTGTTTATTGTTACCTGTGTTCTGAAACCTCCCTCTCCAGAGAGGCTGACAAATATCCTCTCCTTGGTATCTTCCTATACTATAGAACCAGAAGAAAGTTTGGGGACAGGAGAAACTAACTGAATCTGTTCTCTTTTTGCAGAAGAGACCTGGAAAGAGAGCAAGGCAGAAAATGAAAAGCCGAGCACGCTAAGTGGACTGTGCTCCCCAGCGGGGTTCCTATGTCTCTGCGTTGTAAAATGTTTCTGCAGTCTTCAAGCATCTAACTGCAGAGCAAGCTAGATGCTTCTGTGTGACATGAAGAAAGTCAGTGGAAACTAGTGACTTATCGCTAATTTCTTGTGTGTTTCCTGAAGGACTGTTTTCCACTTAAACCTTTGGCAGGTGTGAATAAATTAAATAGTTTACACAGAACTCCCTTGATGCCTAATTCGTGTTTACGTTGTGAACGGTGGCTAAAACTTCTGTTCCTTTCAGTCCGGCAGCTTTTACCACAGCTACTGTTGACTTGTACTTGCAGCACTGGAGTTCTGGGTCATGTTGCTGATGTTGAAATAAGATGTCTTGAGACCCATCAAGGAATTAAAGCTTTTTTTAGGTGCTTTGCGTAGATGGTTTTGGCAACTACAGAGCCAAAAGCAGCAGTCTTACAAATAAGTTTATTTCTGGAACTGTTGTCAGGCTGCAAATTTGGCCAGTCTGGGATTCTCTCTCCACTTTTCTCATTACCTTCTCTTGCCAGAAATCTACCAGAATCACTTAATAACGAGCAAGGACTGACACATTAGACAGATGTCATTAACTGCTTCTATCTAAGTTGAGTGTCTTTGCTACGCTATTGCAGGTTCTCAGACTGCTCCTTCAGGCGCCAAAAGGCAGCCATATATCTAGTGATCTCAGTGCTCCGGCGTGGGAAGTGCAGTCTGCAGTCAGTGCGGTCCACGTGAATCTGGGGGGAAAAAAGTTATCATAGCATGAGTAGTCATGTGCTTTTACTAGCATTAGTAGTAGTATTCCCTCTTGAGAAGAAGAATAGCCTGGAATACTGCTAAGAAATGCCCAAATGACTAAGGAGCCAAGTACTACTTATTTTAGAACAGTTTGCTGTTTCATAGCAGTAGGACTTGGTGAAAAAGGAGACAAATTTCTGAAAAATTCACTTTAAAAGTGATCCTCTTAAAAACAGCATCATGAATCCTGACTCCCCAAATTTAATGCAGTTTCCTGCACTCGGTTTTAGTTGCTTCTTTCCTGCCTGGCAAACCCAACAACCGTTGTCTAAAAGCTTAAAGCTGTGCTCGGCTGCCTGGCTCTAGGCTTGTCACCAATAACTAGGTTACTGGAAGTCTAATATGAGTAGTTATGAAAGACTAATCTTATTTGCAGTTTTTTTGGTAACAGGCCAGAATTAATCAGGCCCTCTTTTGCCTTCCTGGAACCACTAACCTATCTATAAAGGCAGTCATGGTCATGGCTATTGGTTTGTCAGATACGATCATATTTTAGCTTGTTAATAAGATCCCCTTTCCTCCTGATTATTCAGCTTCCCGCAAGTGAATCCTCATTGGTATATTCTGCCTGGGGTGTACTTAGCTGATTATTAAATTTCTGGTTCTGCTTTCAATTTATCTGAAAGATACAGTACAGTTGCACACTTCTCACAGTACTTACGTATGTTGCTTCATATTGCTCACTTTCTCTTGGCTGAATAATTTCATAAGCAGGTTTGAACACATGGCATTTGGAAATATGCTTGGGTTGAATTGTCATTGTATGCATTTTGCATGCAAGTTTTCGGGTGGGGAGTCTGCTGTTTTTGTGTTCACAAGCCTATGTAAGTATGAGAGTCCTCGAAGGCTAAACTTTAAAAGCTTGCTGTCCATGAACACTTCTGCTCTTTCCTAGTCATTCCTGATCTCCATCTTTGTCACAAATTATTTTCTGGCACAAATATCCTTTAATATGATGGGCTGAACCACTCTGAATCCTGCAGAGTTGATTCCTTAAGTACCCTACTCACCAAAGGTGTTGTGTTCCAGCCAATTTCCTGGCTTTCAGTTTGTGGCTCTGAGTATTTCTTTGTTGGCTCCAGTGCTGCATGGTGAATAAGATTCAGGAACTTGGCTGTAGGTTTAAGAGAGACAGACACAAGTGAAAGAAAGTATGCTTTTAAACAAACAAAGGACAAACCAGTCACGTGTGGATGTATGCAAGGAACGGAGATCCGAGATCCTAACCCTGCCCGAGTGATAGCAAGGAGGCCAAGGTTGGAGGCAACCCCTGTGCTTCTGTGAATGATCTTCTAAGAGACTGCAGGGTAACATTTCTGCTCAAACAGATCTTGGTCAGGTTTCAAAATCTGTCCTTCTATGGTATCTTGTTAATTCTATCTTCCTTGTCTACTACATTGTAATACCTTATTTTTCTCATGCCATATCTAATACAACCAGACCTCCACATTAGCTGTCATCTTTCTCAGCTGCCTGAGACCTGCTCCCTCTGTTTTTCCCCTAGTCCTTTACTGCAGCAGGCCAGCTTTAACCTACCATCATGTTTTTAAATAGAGCCTGTAAGAAATAAGGGAGCAGTTGCCGTAAGACTTCCTGTTATTGGTGCTCTAAAGCAGAACTTAGCAGCTATTTCAGCACTGTTTGTCATATGCAGTTGCTAGGTAGAATCTGCAATGACAGGCACCACATATGTATAAAATGTTTCTAGATTTTTTCTCTGAATGAAATTTATGTTCTCAAGCAATATGGTGTAATAAAGATTAAAAAAATCTCATAAAGGCAGGCTTGTACTGACAAAAGTAATAGGCAGGGCCTTAAAATGGAAAAAATACCTTATAGTTAATAAAAATCATGAATATGTTTAACTTTCTTCTACTCTCACCGGGATGTTTCCATGTAGGTCATCTTTGAGACTAGCTGGAATGTTTTAATCTTATTTATTGGTCATTTCCTTATTTAATTATCACAAGCTGTTCGGAGGTTTCTTACCGTCTGCAGGCTCCTCTATATTGTCATGCCAAGACATAGGCTTCCTGGCGACCATGTGAACTGGAGAGAAATGATGGAGATGAATTGCTTTAACGTGTAATTAGCATCACAACTAGGTAAAGGGCATATATCATTGCGAATGTTTTTTTCTGGTTATTCCCCACTTTAAGTTGTTACGGGAAAAACAGCATGTGGTTGAAAGAAAATGAGTTAGAGTGCTGGCAGACGGGTCCCCGTCCCGTCGCAGGAGCTGCGCCTCTCCCGGCTCTGTAGCAGCTCC